CGTTTACACCATGGAAAGGAGTACTGAAATGTTCCTGCAATTTGGTTGATATGGGTCTCATCTGCCAACAGCTGTTTACATACAAATAAACTATGCCAACCCCCACAAACCGAAGGTATAGTTATTGCATAGTCTCGAAAACTTGATTTTAGATAAATGTTTGGTCTAAACGATGCCAGTAGTAATAAATATTATCCATCCTCGACAACGGCTTAATGACCTATAACCGCTATGCCTCTGACAAGATTTTCCTGAGAACGATCACGACATTCAGGTGCTTTAATCGATCATTGGACGCCATGGATCTGGCCAGTTGCTGACACTTGTGCGCGTCGTCAAGCGAAACGTTTTGCTCGATCATAAAGTTTGGACCCATCTAGAACAGGTCCAGGTACTGAAGCAGGGCGTCACTCCTCCTCGTTCGCTTTCAACAAGCACTCAACTGTGACTTAGATGAGCTTTATTCCGTTTACATGCGTCAAGTGCTTGCCAACTTCCCGTAAAGCAACCAAGTCTTGAAGCTCTCTGCAGCGTTCGACATTTCAAGATCACGGCTTGTTTTTGCGTCGTCGTGCTGTGCTTCACGTTGGCACGTTTGGAGAGGATCAGGATCGAGGCTATTAGCCGGCGGCCAGCCGGGGCTAAGTGGCGAGCAGGTGCTCGAAAAACGCTCCGAACGTGGCCGCGCTCGACACCACTTGAATTAGAAATAGCCGATCGATGTCGCCAGACACACCTGCCGCAGCGTGGGCAGCTTCTGACGAGCGCACCCGGATTGTGGCAGCTGGGTCCCGGCGAGGGTCCCCAGGTGGGTCCCTGCGAGGGTTCCCAGGTGGGCCCCGGCGAGGGTCCCCAGGCGGGTTCCGGTGAGGGTCCCGGGGCGGGTCCCGGTGGGGGTCCCCAGGCGGGTCTCACTGAAGGTTCCAAGGCGAATTCCGGTGAGGGTCTCGGGGCGGGTCCCGGCGAGAGTCCCGGGGTGGGTCCGGGCGGGTTCCGGGCATCCTGGGGCGGGTCCCTAGACAGGCCCCGGCGAGGGCAGGACTGGGAAGTGGACCAGGGGCTGGGCCAGCGCCGTGACCGAAGTGGGAGAGGCGAAATATCGGCACCAGCAAGTGCTTCTGTGGCGACCACTGACTCGCTAGGGGCGAGATATCGGCACCAGCGAGTGCTTCTGTGGCGACCACTGACTCGCTAGGGGCGAGATATCAGCATCAGCGAGTGCTTCTGTGGCGACCATTGACTCGCTAGGGGCGAGATATCGGTACCAGCGAGTGCTTCTGTGGCGACCACTGACTCGCAAAAGGCGAGATATCGGCACCAGCGAGTGCTTCTGTGGCGACCACTGACTCGCAAAAGGCGAGATATCGGCACCAGCGAGTGCTTCTGTGGCAGCCACTGACCCGCTGCCGGTTGGAGACAGGCTGTGCAAATTGGAAGCGATCGAGCTTTTTTTTCGTGCCGCTATTGAAAACGTGTTTGGTGATTGGAACGCCACGTGCTGACATTCGCCTTGTGATGACCATGACGCATAATGTGCTGTCTTTAATCTGTAACGCTCGTGACGCAGTCGTGAACGCGACCCGGTGGCGTTCGAAACTTGTGAGCTCTACCTGATAATGGCCTGAAGTTTCCATTGACGTGGATCAGGCGTTAACCTTGATCCGGCGGCGAACCTGAGCCGGCAGTGAGGTTGACCGACCGATGACCTTGACCGTCAGCGAGACGAGGCGGCGCTGATTGAGGAGCTGCTGGAGGAGGACGAGGAGACCAAGGCACACTGCCGCGGCCGACGCTGCTTCTCCAACGAGCAGTGCTGCACCTCCTACCTCTGCGTCGAGGCCGAGGATGCCGGCACGGCTGGTGCGTCCGCATTTCCCCAGTCCCAGCCCCCCCCCCCCCCCTGACCAGCAGGCTCTAGCGCGCCGCAAGTTTTGGTCAGGAATCATTGCGTCGCAAAACTTTTAAAAGCACTTTGTTACTCAGTTTGCCTACTGTTGAACTGACACGGGGAGATGGGATCATCGAATATGCAGTTCGGAATTAAAGGTGAGAAGTCATGAGCGACGACGAAGGCATTGACAACAGCTTATAAGTAACGTTTAATTACGCATACAAATACAAAGTGATACGGGGCGCCCACGTTAGTCTGTTGTAGTGTTTAAACCTCTCTATTTTCATATATTCATCGCAATACGGCAGCCAAGTAGAGCCGCCATTTTAACTTATCTCGGACGTAAATGTATAGTGCAAGCCAACCCCGCGCCCATGCGCGAGAGACAGAACAGCTGCGTTACGATTGGCGGGAAATGTGCGATAGTCTTTTCCAAAGCTTCCGCAATGTTTTAAATCTTTGGAAGGCTTACAGGAAGGTCTATGTGACATGTTTTGGAATATTTCAGATGTATCGATGGTTTCGATTGGAATATTTCGATTTCTGGAGACTCGCATCACTCGCGAGCTCAAGTTCAAGCGAGTGAGTTATCACTTGCTAGGAGCAAGTCCCCGTTGGTGGCAGATGCTAACTTATTTGAAAAAAATATGCACTGATTATGCTAAATTTCTATCTGAATTTTCATGGCACGTCTTAAATTAAGAAAAGGCATTAACTAGACAAGCATTGATAAAAGCTGGTTGCAATAACAAAAGTTCCGATTCCATTTCACAAAAAATACTAACATTTTCAGCCTTAACGTAGCTGACCCTCGTCTATGCCGTTGAAAACACACAGCACCGGCAACATATTCATACACGTGAGCGACCAGTCCGTGTCGACAATTTTTCTACATAGCACATCATAGGATTCGTTTATGTACAACTGTGTTTGCGGTTTTACGATCGGCTCATGCCACTCACTGTCTGTAAATCTGCTCGGGATGTATCAGAAACTGTAAGCAGAAGCTTCTTTAATTTAATTTGCATTCGTTTGAGGAATGCCGGCTTTTATCACGAGTCGGACGGCGGCGGTTCGCCCATCCCCGCCGAGAGGCTGCCGCTCCAGCTTTTCTGGTGCCCATTGTACCCGGCCCAAGCGCCGGCGGAATGAAGTGGCCTCTTCAGCGGGCTCACCACTCGGGCCGCAGGTCGATACGAGCGACGCGACGGGATCGTCCCAAGCGTGCACGCTGCTCACACACAGCAGAGGGTGGCACAGCTTGCTTGGGAAACGTGGTCGGAGGCCACGCAGCCGTGCGCTGCGGACGATCACGACAACGCAGCCAGTAATTGGCAGGGTCGACAAGACGATACAAACGTGACAAAGTTCGAAGCAATTTGCAACATGGGAAACGTAAATCGAACCTGTTAAAGCGTAACAAGACGAACACGTTGAACTGCGCTGTGTCAGTCGTCTGGTTCGAGGTAACAAGACGAGGACGTTGAACTGCGCTGTGTCAGTCGTCTGGTTCGAGGTAACAAGACGGAGTCATTGAACTGCACTGTGTCAGTCGTCTGGTTCAAGGTAACAGGACGAACACGTTGAACTGCGCTGTGTCAGTCGTCTGGTTCGAGGTAACAAGACGGAGTCATTGAACTGCACTGTGTCAGTCGTCTGGTTCGAGGTAACAAGACGAAGCACGTTGAACTGCGCTGTGTCAGTCGTCTGGTTCGAGGTAACAAGACGAAGACGTTGAACTGCACTGTGCCAGTCGTCTGGTTCGAGGTAACAAGACGAACACGTTGAACTGCACTATGTCAGTCGTCCGGTTGGAGGGAACAAGACGAAGGCGTTGAACTGCGCTGCGGCAGTCGTCTGGTTCGAGGTAACGATTCGGCTAGTTGAGCTTCAGCCATTTGTGCGAATGCAACAGTGAGCTGGGGCCTGCTTTATGCTGCAGAGGTTTGGAGGGATAGGAGAAGAGGTCTGTTCCTCCAGTTTGGATGAACAGAAGATAGGAGGGATAAAAGGGCACCGTGGGATACAATTCATGCCTCCGGAGCATGTCTTATCAGATTTCTAATTTTTGCAAAAATAACATCGCTGGTAAATTTGCAATCACAGCGTTGCTGGAGCAAAACAGCGGTCGTTCAAAACAGCTTGGTGAAAGGAAAGCACTGCTTTGCAAACACTTGCGGCCCCAAAAGCCAACAACTGTTGACTATTAAACAGCTGCACCATACCTCATTCACTTGGGGCCATTGTATCTTTAGAAGCCTATTTTACTGCAATAATGCTGCAAAAATATGTGAGCTAATCTTCCTGGAAACTTGCTGGTTAGATAGCCAGTTAGCCAGCCAGCAAACTGCCCGGCTTCACATCTTTACGAGAGCTTTGTCATACTCGTACTGCTAAGAACGTAACTGCTGCTAAATAGCACAAGCACACATTTGGCACGAAGCTGAAGTGAAAGCCATTGACTTAAACATCTTTTAGAGGCCAGTGATGTACTTGATGAAGTTCAAGCCTTATAAATCCAGGCCACGTCTGCTCGTTGCAGCACCGAAGCTGTGCCTCGGTTCGCTCGGTGTATAATGAAAAGCAGTTTGCTTTATAGCGAAGAGAACGAACTCGGCAGAAAATGCAACAAATGATTGCGATTACAACAGCCGGTAGCGCCGCACATGATAGAAATGGCAGGGCATCATCAGTGATGCGTTTCACAAAACGAAAGTACATCGCTCGGTTATGTTCGGTCACACCGCGTACTGACATCGCATGGTGGTGATCGGTCCTACCTTGTAATTACAATCCTCAATGGTGTTCCGTCACACCGTGCAGTTACATCGCACGGTGGTGTTCGGCAACACCGTGTAATTGCATCACACGGGGGATGTTCGGCCGCAACGTGTTGGCATGTGACTTAAAATATATTACTTCTTATTAAATACTTTGATGCCCGTCACTAATAAATGAGAAAATTCTGCAAACCCAAAAGCCTGATGACCATATCCCCATTCGTCGCGAGCGGACAAGTGAGTAACTTGTATTTTTGTATCACAAAGTTGGTCACAGGTGAGGCATAGCCGGCCTAGTACACCCAACCGACGCTGTCGTCCTCCAAACACAATCGGTCGTCCGACAAAACAGCCCCACTGTTCGGTACGAGAACGGACGCTCGGGTCCAGTGCAATCTTGATCAAGTCTCGCAGGATCCACTCTCCTTTCCCGTTCACCCATTTCGTCCGCTGCAATGATTGTTCGGTGTAAATCACTCGTGTGTCGCCTGGATCCCGAACAAAGTCACCTTGACAGAGGCGACTTGGAGAACTACGCACACAGCTACTCGGCATGCCACAAAATTCAAACACGAAACCGAAGCGCATAATTGTGTTTTTTTTTGTCCCCTCAGCCTGCTTCCCACTGGGGCGAGTAATTATTCGCTTCTTGGTGAATTTTGCGATGAATTGGCATGAAATAAAAATATCGTCACCAAACTTTCAACATCACCCTCTCCTAGATCTCTGTAACATGCTTTTTTTTCTCTCCAAAAGTTATGTCGTTCCCAGACCCCGAGAAAGTAGCGCTTTGGTGACGTCACAACGGGTGATTTTTCATAATCAAAGCATAAACATACAACAAGCCTCTAGCTCCAAAAACAGTTGGTCCACACCGTTACTATGTACAATATGTAAGTAGCGTTATACATTTGATATACTTCTGAAGGTATTTCCACTTCACCTCACTCGCAAAAATAGTCTGAATGCATGCCACTGGACGAAACTGAAGTGGTCATATGTTGACTCATTGTGACCTGACCTTGGCCCGTAGCTTTGCTTGGTAGCGGAGTATGCTCCCGCAATACCCTTCATTGTTTTTTTTAGAGTTCTTTTGGGGAGAACGGACCCAGTGGTTCCGTTTGCGTAAAAATTGAAAACCCTTGATGTAACAATATCTATTGTGACATTTCAACCTGTGTGACCTGACCTCTGACTTCGAAATCAACTTAAGTGCACACTTAATCACTGGCGTCTCGAATGCTTTTTGATCGGTGCACGCCACGTTTAAACCGTACCATGAGTTGCAGGAAAACAGGGGAGGGGGTCGGGGAGAACTCTACCCCCAGTGGTGTTCGTTGGTCTGCCGATCGCAGTAGCGCGAGGATTAAGTTTGCACCTTCGATGCAGCTCCTCGGCCTTACCTGAGCTAGAGAAATACAAAATTGATGATCACTGAGAAGGTTGACATGTGGAGTTTGATGCATCATTCTGTTCGTCACGCGAGCGATACTTAACCCTTTAAACCGTCGGCCAAGAAATATCGGACACCAATTATGCTCCTGCCAACCCTAATCCCATCACGTCATGCTAAAAGGTGAACACATTTGTTCGTATTTCCATCCGCGTATGCTCAACGTTTAACGAACGGTACTTCCATCCGCCTATGTTCAACGCTTAACGAAGGTACTTCCATCCGCGCATGCTGAACGCTTGACGAACGGTATTTCCATCCGCGTATGCTCAACGTTTAACGAACGGTACTTCCATCCGGCTATGTTCAACGCTTAACGAACGGTACTTCCATCCGCGCATGCTGAACGCTTGACGAACGGTATTTCCATCCGTGTATGCTCAACGTTTAACGAACGAGTACTTCCATCCCCGCATGCGGAACGCTTGACGAACGGTATTTCCAGCCGCGCATGCTCACGGGCATTCTCCCCCGAAACGTGAAGTTTGCTGGCAGCACCCGGTCGTAGATTGCTATTTGATAATGAAAGCGAAGTTCTCGGTAGGAGCTTTTATAGTTGAGGGAACTTACACCCACGCACCCCAGTTTTTGTCAATGTTTTGCTTCGTACCACTTCTATCAACAAGTTGAAATCAATACATCTGATACAGCTGCCATTGTGCGCAGGGTGAGGAGCTCACAATGGCTTAGAATATTGAGGAACGAAAGAGAAACGCTTAACTAACGGTAAAGTTGTCCAATTATGTAGCTTACGGGGTGCTATATGCACGCGGAGCGTGATGCGCCACGGCGTGACATTAACCATTTGAATGACTCATATAGATTTCCTGGCACTTGCATGGTAATGACGAATTGCGGCCGCCTGCATGCAATTTGAGCCATGATGCTAATTAATTGACCTGCAGTTGATGACAAGCATGCTATAGGTGTTGAGTGGATTAAGTTTCTTCCATGAAGATAGACAGATTTAGCGGAAATGGATCTAAGCCCCTTGGTGGTTGACATTTCAGCTTGATGACACTGGGTTTCATCGATTTCTCACCGTTAGTGCTTAATGTGGTGTGTGCACTTTGCCTCCATTTTTGCGATGCAAAGTCGCCCGAAGTCTGTCCTGGCAGCTCTTTGCTTGCTGCGGTCGATCATAAATTTACAAAAAAATGTTTTCATTGTACATGACAAATCTATCACTTAAGACATTTGAAGCCACTTTCCAAGTAAGTGGCGAAGGCGTCTAACATCCTCAGATACGAGGATGTATGTTTAAACCTGAGCTTTCTGTCGGACAACGTGCTAATGAGCTACAGGCAATGACCACCATCCTGGCCAAACTTTGCACCGTGTTCTGAAAGCTCTTTCCCAAACCACAAACCGCCAAGCAAATGTTGCCGTCGCCGGTTTTTGTTGCACCACCCTTCAACGCGTTTTAAACGCGGTGCACGCCATGACAACAACACAGTACTGATCGGCCCAGCGCGCACGCTGTTGTTTTGGTAGTTTCGGTCAGCGGGCAGTTTGACACCAACAGCCGTAGTTCGCCACATGTGCTTATGAGGCGTGCAGTGGCTGTGTGCACGAAAAGGCCCACACCTCAGGGCTGCGGGGCGTCGGCTCGTGCCGGCGATTAGCCCTGGCCTGGCGTGACGTGAGGCCCAGTGTGGAGCCCGTGTATGCCGCCGGGTGTCGGGATTGGCCAGGCACGCGCTGGCCGGGCCCGTCCGCATGGCGTCGCCGGAGCTGGCGGGGAAACTTGGCCAAGTCCGTCATCCTGACACAGCCAACTTGGGCGGGTCGCTCTGCATCGGCTGTTCAGGCCCAGGTGCCGCTCATCGGGCGCTGGCGAGGCAGCCGCTGCCCATCACGCGTCCATTTTGGAGCCGTCGATCGATGTGCCGTGCCCGCGACCCTCGCCGGCCGGACGGCTGGGACCCTGACCGAGCCGCCGGCCGCGCGCTGCCGGCCGCAGGCCTGACGGCCGCGGTCAGCAGGGCCGGCCCGCGCCGGCCGGACGGCTGTGGCCCTGACCGAGCCGCCGGCCGCGCGCTGCCGGCCGCGGGCCTGACGGCCGCGGTCAGCAGGGGCCGGTCCGCGCCGGCCGGACGGCTGTGGCCCTGACCGAGCCGCCGGCTGCGCGCTGCCGGCCGCGGGCCTGGCGGTCGTGCCCGGGGCCGCCGGTCAACAGCGGTCGGCCCGTCGGCGCGCTGGAGTGACGCTGCTAGTTAGAAGTTGCCGGCGGCCGGTCGACACGCGCACCCGCCCCTTCCCCGCGGCCCGGCAATTTAATTGGTCGCGTTGAAGAATGCGGCGTTTGCTGTAGCTTTCCGCTCTCTCCGTGTCTAGCGGGATGTGAGGACAGCACATCACTGCCAACACTTTCCTGGGATAATTCGGCGGCGTTGTGCCCAGCACGCATGCACCAGAAAAAAATCAAGATGCCATTCTATGTGCACTAAACATCGATTTTTCCACATAGACATGACATATTGAACCAGCTCATGTGACTGACTTAGTATAAGCTAACAAAATAATTTGCAAACTGGTCCTGTTCCGGGCTCTCCCGAGCGCGGAGATCATTGACCCAAAGAATTGTCACCATGGCATAACTCTCATGTGAAAACTACCCTGTATAAAAACGCATGGTTCTTGAGTCGGACCTTTCGCCTGGCAGCAGTCAGTTTTTTAAGTTACCGTGATTGATCGATGCGCGCTAAACATTTTCTTTAACTCTCCAGCAAACCAGTTTTGTCGCATGTGTGGCTATGTCGAATTTTACTTCGAAATACCTGGACACAAAGCCTGCGCACAGAACGGAACAGATGAACAGATGCAAGACCTCGTAGAATAGATGATGATGTTCCATAAGTTGGCTCCAACCATTTCTATCCTACCGTTATTCTGCCTAAAATATGCATAACCTCCTAAGTTGTGTGAGCCAACTTTAAAAGACCCCTTTTAACCTTTGGCACTGTGCTGGAATATGCATGGGACGCCTTTCAAACGAATCCGTCAACTTGGCATTTCGGGCAAATGCGCAGCGCCACTTAACATGACAGACGTTCAGCACCTTAAAAGTCTCCATGTGACCACCCTCACGCTTCGAAGACGATTAATGCGGCGAATGAATATGCCGCCACTGCCTGCAATAATTGTGTATATGTGGTTCTGCTGGCTGCGTGACAACAAACATATTCGTGTCTTAGATGATTGCGAGCGCGTCGCGAAGCGGTTCCCAAAACGTTCACAAAGTGTGTCAGGCGTTGTTAATTTGGCATGGTTACAACTGACCTAGGTGACCGATCGAAATAGAAAAAAGGGTGTTTTAGATAGAAGACTGCCTGATCTTTTAAAAGTTATGTCGTGGCAATCACGTTGCCTCATTTCAAATTGATGATGCATTATAATATTTCTGTTGTAAATTACATGACGGAAATATTTTGTGGACTTTTAATTCACCAGCTCATTATGTCCGTTCCGAGACGCATTTTGGTTTATGCATGGCACACGCGGAGACTGAACACACATCGATCACAAACGGTTGCGTTTAGCTGTCGCATGCAGTTTAGTTGTAGCAAATATCATGCCTTGGTCAAACGTTCCACAGAATTACACTTCAAGGGCCACGAAATAGACCGTTAAGACAATGAATCGTGTCTCGCCTGTCACGTTAAGACAATGAATCGTGTGGCGCCTGTCACGTTAAGCAGACCTGACCATGAGATGTTTTTTTCTTGAACAGACTACCTGGTCTTGCACGCCTGAACGTCTCGTGCCGCTTTCACTGCGCCCACGGGTGGCGCTGGCACGTGACGATACATATTCTCTCCACCCATGCAGCCATTGTTACCGGTGTCGGTGGCGTAACGATGGCAACGCGATGTAAACGCATGGAAACGATATGAACGGCACAGGAATGAATGGTTTGTAGAGCAGTTATCAACGTTTGTTGAGTTAAGGGCCTCGTCCGTTTGTCAGCGTTGATCAGCTGAGCCTGTCACGTGGCGGACTCAATACACACGTGTTGTGTATTGAGGCCACAGGCTCCTGAGGACCAAGGCTACCACATGCAGAGTCCGGAAGCATTTCAAGACCCAGACGCTGCCGTATATTTACAATTGAATATACCTGTCTATATATATACATATATATATATATATATATATATATATATATATGCATGGCTCATGTTGCATTCTGATCCAGGACATTAAATGATTGCCGTTTCCACGAAGGAATGCAGTGCAAAGTATTTAAAACTTTTTGAAAACTTTTGAGCATTTATTTTTTAAACACATCTTTTATCAGCGATTTTTTTTGCTGGAGGTGTTCAGCAGGTATTCAAAAACATATTTGTAAAGGCGTCTGGTGTGAGACAATTGCGGTTGGCTAGCTATGAGCCTACTCGAGGGTTTATGCAGAGGTATGATGTAAATCTCCTCTTACCGAAACTTTTTCAAAACTTTTTATGATCACTCCGTGACGTCTTTGACAAAGACGCAACGAAAGAACCTCCTGTGTCCTCGTATCGTCTCTGTTTTTGGGTATGCGGTACTTACCGAGCCTACTTATAACACTTACAGGGTTTGCAAGGCTTTCATGCCTCAACTTGATCCGAGATGAGTGATACTTTGAAAAATCCTCAAAGCCCGCCTCGCGCCACGCAGCACTGATATAAGCAATAATGGCGCTGCCAGCATTAAACGCTCTCGAAAAATTCACATGGCTGATTTCTGGGCCTAGCATTTTGCTAGAACTTGGCTAAACTAAAGGCATAGTCTGAAGAAAAAGATCGATAATGAGTCCTGTCAAATATAACAAACTTATTCTTAATTAGATAAGCGTGGTCTACTTATTACATACTAATGGAATGCCATGAAAGCAATATTTTTCCTGTCGTAGTGCTTAGCATATACTAAAACGTCATAGCGGCATTTAAGAAACTTTAAGAAAACAAATTCGTTGCATTTAATCATCGCGAAAACGGCGGATGCTGCCCATGTTGTGTGCGATGTCTGCAAACGCCGTAAGCATGCATCCACGAACATTACATTTGGCCAATGCATGCCGCATGGCAGCGGCGCGCCCCGGATTGTGCCAAGTTTGTCTGGGCGAATGTTTTTGGGGCCGCCTACTTCGGGGTTTTCTCGTGCTCAGTAGCCGCAGGCGACACTCTTGCTGCATGACCGTGGGGCTGTGGGTCCGAAAAACCCCGTGCGCAGCCCCCGCTCCGGGAACCAAAAGATCTGTCGTCTGTCGTCGTCCGTCGAGTGAGGTAACGCAGACATAATAAGCATAAAGCGTCGTCAAAATCATCGATGATGGCTATACTTACATCGACTGCAAGTCCTTCCGAATCAAGTGCATCGACTATTTGTTGTTGGTAGCCAAGCAGGATAAGCCATAGCGAAGTGCGGCTACCTCCTTCCGTAAAGTGCCATGTGCATCGTACTCGAGGGAATCTGTGATTCCTTCGGCGCGTTGCCATCATGTTGGTTATGAGTGCAGGTCCATGTATAACCGCCATGCTCGGTAACTAGTTTCGCTACGTACTAATGTCTTCCTTACACATCACATTTTCACGTACATTAATCCGAAAAGGTCGAATGGTTAGCCTTGGGTACGTAGAAGTTACTACGCGAAGTTCTTTGTTCGCACCCTAAACCAACCACGTGCCGCCCGCAGCGTCCGGCACGTGCATGCCCAAGTACGTGCGCCGCGAGGGTGACACGTGCACAGTCCGCGTCCGACTGCGGCTCCAGCCTGGCCTGCGTGCAGCAGACGACCGGCGGCAAACGCTGCGAGAAGCACGTGATCGGCAACAAGTCATACTGTGAGTTGACCGGTCGGGGACGGAATCTCTCGGCCTCGTGTCGCCAGCACGGCACGTGGTCCGCACCTTTCTCGCGGGTGTGCACGTGGCGTCAACACATGGTGTATGTTGGTGTTGGTTTTTTTTTGCCTTTACTTGCCTTTACACGTGACGCATTACTTTCTAGTCCGTGCGGATGATGCCTTCTATGCTGATGAATCCACGCTGGTTCTCCCACTATTGACCTGTTCGCGATGTCTGTCCCACCGACCGGCCCGGGACACGTTCCTCACAGGCTCCTTCGGAATGTTTCCATCACTACCCTGCATGTTACAGGCTGTCTCACTTCGCTTCCAGCGACGTCTGCCTCGCTTACCAGTCAGCAGCGGCGGCGTGCCTCACCGGCGTTTTGTTTCTCCGGACGGGCACGGACTCGGGCGACGCAGCCAGCATAGGAAAGCGGCTCGCAATCCTGAAAGCCCGGCTTCGGGTTCAACTCGCACAGCGTGTGTCGACCCCAATTGGGCCGAGTGGCGTTTCTCGTCGGCAGCCCCAGCCACTGGTGGCGGGGGCGTTCTGTCCTGCCTTGATCAGTGCGTGCATGCCCCCAGACGAGGACTGCAAGATGACCACTGAGTGTGACGTCACCAGAGGCCTCTGCTGCCAGCTGTTGAGAAGGCACCGCCAGTCGCCGAGAAAGGTATGCGGTCCCAGACGTCACGCAGCTCGTGATGTGCAGGACGCGAATGAATTCAGCGGCTACTCGCCTATTCTGCCACGGCACCAAGCCGCTTGTTTTACTCCGCGAGGCTCGATTTTCGTATCCTCATGAATTATCGTCCAATTTTTCATCATAACGTGTAAGCTTGGTTCAGGTAAACATGTTTACCTTGACCTTCTCGAGCGAGCCCGTTCTGACACGCACGCTGCCCGTCGTTTCGACGCCGACTCCCGAAGTCTACCTCTACGAGCCGTCAGGCAGCGAACGCCAGCAGCCCTTGACGACGGCTCGTCATCATTACATCACATTCAGTGCCACCGGTCGCTCAGGGGGTGCTCCGTGACAGAATAAAGACGAGGATTCCGTCGGAGCAGTCTTGCCAGCACACGGCCGCGCATCATGGGAACGTGTCCAGCACAAATTAGTGCCAATTAGAGCACGGAGCTGGCAACGTCAGAGACAGTCTACATCACTTTCAGTATTTACGTGCTGCTGCGGACGTTCATTACGTGCCAGTTTTCTGTGTTAGAGATTAACCCGTGTTCGGCGTATCTTCGTGGTTGGAAAACGCCTCGAGGCGAATCAGATCGGCAATATCAGGTCACACCAGCCCTCTAATGACACCCGCCGCGCTCCATCCCCTGTTCACGGCAGACTACGTCCTGCTCCCCGGCGGCGGCGGGCGGTCACTGGGTGTCTTTTAGGCAGTGGGCAGCGACCGGCCAGCCGGATGACGTGCGCTGGATCGGCGCAGTCAGCTGGATGACCTGCGCTGGATCAGCGCGGTCAGCTGGATGACGTGCGCTGGATCGGCGCCGTCAGCTGGATGACGTGCGCTGGATCGGCGCAGTCAGCTGGATGACGTGCGCTGGATCGGCGCAGTCAGCTGGATGGCGTGCGCTGAATCAGCGCCGAGCCGCCGCTTTCAACGCGTCGCCGGCGACTGTCACCGGCTCCCTGAGTCTGTCCCTGGCAGCATCGCCTGACCGGGTGTCGCGTCCTTCCCAGGCCTGCCTGTACTTCAGCGACCCTCTGATGTGTATCGGTCACGTGCCCATGGAAGAGGTATGTCACCGACTCCTACCCTCCCCTTCCCGGCACCGGCCGAGTCTCGGAAGTAATAGATGGAATGCAGTGCCCACTATGTGGGGAATGTCACATAGTGGGCACTGAGTCAATCGATGTGCTATATCCTAGCATGCGCACCTTCATGACAGCCACGAGGTGTTTGTCATGCCATCGTCAATAATCTGTCTATTCACCAAATGGAAAAGCGTACGGTGGGGTTAGGTGGGGGTAGGGGTGGGGGATGAGGCAAAATGGCCTAGGTAGCCGACATGCTCAATACTACCCGGTTGGGTGGGAGGTGGCAGGCGAGGAGACAGAGGAAACGGCCTCACTTTTCGTGGGAGCTCAGCGTTAATTCCATGGCGATGCATGGGAAGACCGGAATCGAAGACGGGGATGCCCTGCACTCATTTTCTCTGGCGTTTCTACTTTTCTGATGGAGTTCGCGCCAGGTTTCGGCGGTAACCCAGCGTCATCTGACCCGCTCCACCGCTGCCGCAGGTCAAGGCCAAGGTCGAGCACATGGCGAGCGAGAAGCGCATCACGGGCCACATCGACGACCTGAAGCACCTCACCAACTAACCGGCCTCGCTTCGCTCCCGGTCAAGGTCACGCGCCAAGGTCATGCGTGACGTCCCGGGCCGGGGGCGCCGGCGGCGCCGCAGGCGGCCGGCCCGCGAGCGTTCATGTCGTGACGTACCTACATATCACTCGTTGCGGAACCGAAAACGCTTTCGACCCGACATATCATTCGGTGTGTGTAGCCGGTCGGCCCCGGAGCCGGCCGCGGCGCGCGCTCCGCGTGCTCTGTCCGTGTGTGCGCGTATGTGTGTGTTGGCGCGCGGGGCGTCGGCCCCGGCAGGCTCGGCCAGACCGCCGAGCGTCCCCCTCGCGAGCGTGTCGACCCTCGGTGTGCGACGCAGGCGACTCGCCCTTCCGCTGCGACTTCGCCCCTGAGCACCTGTCGGCGACGCGAGCCGTGCATGAGCTGAGCTCGCGGAGGGCCCCAGTCCCCCTCACCACCACCAGCTGGCCCGGCCGACTAAACCGGCGCGGCGTCAGTTCCACCGACTGCAGCGCCCGCCGGCGGTGCTACGGGTCGACAGAGTCCCAGCCGCAACGTCGATGCCGCTATACCTCCTCTCTCTTCCCGCCACGTCGCCGATTCCTGCCGTGTTTCTCGCCCGGACTACATCGATTGAGTTCGCCGTGGCATATTGGCCCGCTCTTACTCATCAAGGCTACCTCTCGGATTGTAAGCAAATGTGCCTCACATCTGACCGTCTCAGCTGATCCTTGTGAGCGCCACTTTGTTACAGTTATAAACAGGATATGTGTGCCCGCACTCGCTCACTCTGCAGTGATTCAGTCATTCACTCTTCCACTCCGATTCCACGAGTGGTTTAGGACCTTACGTTCCAACTCTTCTACTGTTCGAAATCTTCTCCCTCTGTACTATGCTGTTACGTTAGATACTATGCTATCTATCTTGAGACCTTCCCCCTACCGAGCGCCTTCCTTTGAAATGGACTTCATCGGGAAGGGATCTCACTCAGCTCGAAAACGGCCCCGCGCACTCGCAGCCATGGTTGGTCGCTGCCCCTCTCGCTGTGCTGCCTCCCGCGTGCCGTCGCCTGCCGCATGTCCCCGCGTGCGACCACCTCCGAGGCTGGGCCCGGCCTGTTGTGCGAGACTGTGCGCACCACCGTGTCCGGCGTCTACTCTGTAGTGTAGTCTAAGTAGTGTAGTAAGCAATAGCGTTAACCGTTAGAGAGATTATCGCGAACAGGCAGTGTCCCCTGGTCACATCCTGGCAGGCGTCCACGCAGGCTTGCCGTTGAAGTGCAGACGGTGCAGTGGCTGGAAACACTTCGCTGACTCCCACCGCGGCACTGCTGGGTGCTCGGAAGACCATGGGATGCTGTTCGTGAGACGACGCTGTTCTCTCGATCATTGATGTTGAAAAAGACGGTTGGCGGTGTGAATAGACGTGACCCGATATTCTTCGCAAAATCTGTGCTGTTGTACATTGGTCTATATATTCTATATACCATGGAAAATGCATCTTGGTGTAGAAATAAAGCAAACAGATAATATACTGGATTCGGGCAACTCTACGGACGTTTTTGTGTTTGCATGCATTTTGTTTCGTTTAATAATGCTGTAGGCTTTCCGAAGTCCCAGAACTGCAGGTATCCCATGGCAAGATGGAAACGCCCAAACGAGCCCAGTCGGCTATTCTGTCAAAACTGAGAGCAGCCATGACTAGTTTTGTCTATGTAAGTGCGTCCACGTAAACAATTGTTGAGGGAATGACACCAGGCATCCAACCACGCCACGGCTGACAGTATCGATGCACCAACTTGGCCGCGGCCCCCCGCAGTCATATGTTTGTAGCTTTGTAGCTGTGTGCAAAAATACAACTTGGAACTGTTGAGCGCTGTGCACAAATTTGACGGGCCACCAGCAACTTTGAGCAGCGTTCTAACCGTGGATCTGTGGCGAAGACTCGCGTACTTTCCCACGGATTCTCCCTCGACTCCCGTCTGCTCCCAGACGTGCATAATTTCCTACGCATTCTCCCTAGACTCCCGTCTGCTCCCGGACGTGCATACTTTCCCACGGATTCTCCCTCCACTCCCGTCTGCTCCCGGACGTGCATATCAGGGTCCTAAAATTGCTGACTTTGGGTGTAAAGCAACACCCTATGAGGAGGAATTTTTCACTCCTTTTCCCCATATTTTATGTGAGTTTTTCACTCCTGCCTGACATTGTCTAATCGCACATGCCACAAAACCGAGCTCACTTGAAACCACCAAGCATAAACAAAGCTCCACAGAATCTATGGCTATGTCCTGCCTCACCTATATCTGATACATGTCTATGTATGCACAGAGCAGGGGCGCCAGGTACCTCCAAGCGCAAGAACCCCAGCGACTCCAGCCGCTTGCACGCATCAAGTTTGGTTTGTTTACAAAACACATCACGATCTGCAGCTGTGCGCCAAATGCAAGGTTTTCACGCATCCCCTATTTTTGGGGGTCTCACCACCACACCACGAAAGCAGAGCCTGGTGCAAACACCAGCAATGCATGGTAGATCATTTTTCTTCACGCATTTCTTTTTCCCGAGGAAACTTGACCACTAAATTGTATCACTCCCAAAGTGCAGGAGTGAAAAGTTCAAGAAATGTCTTCTAAATTAAACTTGCAAGCTGAATATCACCGTTTGAGCACTTATATTAACAGATTTTAAGTCAAATCAGCTGATTACTTAATTTTGCATTAAAGGACCGGTTTTCATATTTATTTAGCTACTTTTGTTTTTCTTGGTATCATACGAGCGTGATACCACTTTATTCTTCCTTTCTTTTCGATTGCCTTTAGAGGTACAATCTGCTGCTTAAAATGTTGACCATTTCTTTGCAAGATGCTCCAACTGCAAACTTGTAGGTATTTCACATATAAATTGGACTAATTCGCCAGCCGTCCAAACATGTTTGATATGCACCCAAGCGTGAACAATTCACAGGGAATAAAGGAGACAATTTGAAGCACGGAACTTATTTTTACCGCCATTTTTGCACTCCTTAACCCTCGGTTAAAGGGTTTTATTAGTTCATGGCGGTGCTCAATAATGATAAATCTAAGCCTTTCGAGAGTCTGACTTACCAGGCCACCCGGCAAGGCTATCATAATGCTTACATACAGAGCCTTGGGACAGACCTGACGCAGCTAATACAGAAGTGTTTGATGGCGAAATTCTGCCCTCTGGAAATGTTTATCATGCACACCTCTTACTTGCTTCGCATTTTAGTCTTGTAGGTTGGTGGGCATGATTCATATTTATATTTGGGGGTGGGTGGGATGACTCTGTCTGCCAGCAGACCATGCAAAAGGTGCTGACTTTCTGTTTTTTTGGGGGGGAGCAGGAAGAAGCCAGTAAGTCTCCTGTGGACCAAGTAATTGCTTACCTTACCTGCTTTCAACGCATGATTGGTAACCAGAGTTAGCCATTTTCTACTTTAATCCATCGAGTTTTGTCATAAGACAAATTATGATGTCACAAGGCATGCAATGGGCTTTTTTGTTCCATATTCTTGGTTATGTGCCCCAAATTTCTTATAGTGGTCCCTCATGGCTGCTTTAACCAGATGTTTTCTATAGTTGTGGTTTGCTGACTGGCAGATAAATGTACGGTATACATGCACTATATTTTTAACACAGGGATACTCTAAGCTGCACAGCAATTATAATACGAGTAACATATTAGTATGTAACAAATAGTCAAACCATCCCATTCAAAATGTGAAGCCAATATCTCAAACTTTGTCATTAAATATGAATAAACAAGCATAAGCGGATGAATTTGCTGCAGCTGAAAAGGTTAACATAAGCTGTTCAAAGTGATTTAAAGTGTTTTAATTTGTGCGTTGTCAACTTTGTATGACGTCAACAACATACACAAATGAACTGAATAAAAATGCAAGTTGAAACCAGCCAAAAACCAGCTTTAGGCATCATGTTTTTATCACAAGTGCTGCTGTCAACAGATAGGTGAGTTGAGATACTGTTCATCATATGGGCTACTCTAAGTTAAGTTAAGTTGGTCAAGTGCGTGGCAAATGACAATAGGAATTGTGCAAGAATCAGTAACTCACAACTGTTGCTGTGATACAAACAGGTTATACAAGATGAGAAGATTTAAGGCCTCTTTAGGTTAGGCACAGGCTACTTTCATGGAAGTAAGCATTGGTATTTTGTAAGAAACAGTGACAAAATATTTGTTTTCCCGGACCTCATCTTAACAGACGCTAGAAATATGTCTATTAGGTTTGACTTGGTGATGGGCTGATGTGTAGGATTCCGAGGTTTTTTGTTTGAGTGCTTTATGCTTGTTGAATTGTCTGTGGTTATTTTGTTATTGAATGTATTTGCTTTGTTTTGTTTGAAAAGTTCTGTGGAAGTGGATTTAAAACTGCAGCATCATATTATTGGTGTTAATGATTTGCTATGCTCATAATACTGTCATGGAATTACTACGCTTAAACGCGCGCCCAGTTGGCCAGCTAGATACCCTTCGCTCGGGTGGGGGGGCAGGGCAGTTTGACCCCCCTCCCTATGAGATCTCGGGAACTAAGAAAGCTAGAGACACCAGATTTACAGGGTGTCTTGACCTATACGTGAACTCACTTAGTTTAAGGTTTCAGCTTCCTAGGTCATGACCTTCAGGTCAAATAAGGTCAAACAAGGACAAATTCCAGGCTGGTCTCCAAAGCGCCCCCAGAACCTAGGCAACTGTCTCTAAGCCAAAGGTGACAAGCTCATTCGAGGTCATTGACCTTGTTTGGCCCTTTGGAGGTCGTGGTGACCAAAATGATACAAGACCGCTCTGAGTTTTACATTTGAATAAACGACAAAGATTACGCTAGGCAGTATGTCCCTAAAACAAAAGGTTCGACCCGGGTCATCTTAGGTCGATGGCCTGTTCTGACCTCTAAGAAGTCAATTAAAGATGCATAATGCGGTTCCTGCTGTCAATAAATTTAAAATGAGCACCAGAAACTATCCCATACAGAGAGCCCTAGAGTAATAAATCAGGTTGGTTTTGACCTTGGTTTGACCTTTCGTACCTGACCGAAGGTCAACGTGACTTGCTCCTTCAATATATGTGGTGTCTAAGAAAGCATCCCAGAGATGTATGTCTTCGTCAAACACTCCGTTGTTGTATCAGATTGAACGATTCCCTAGAAATTGCCTTCGCTGAAACCATGGGCTGACTTTGACCTGTCATAGGCCGGCGACCTTACGAGGTACATTTTAAATTTTTATGTCAAACGATTTGCTATGAAATTTTCTACAGCTATGCAAAATTTTGCGCGGCTACGCGGTGCCGTTCAGAAACCATTCGGGCAAAGCCCTCGGGGGGGGGGGGGCAATTTGCTCCCCCCACCCTAGCGCGTGTTAATGTATTCTGTTTTACTTTAATGGCCTGAGATGTTAAAAAAGAAATAGTTTCGTCAAGTTCCTGATAATACGTCCATGTCAATATGAAATAGATGTCTTTGTTTGTTGAAGCATCAGTCACGAGCTCAGAGCTCCATCTTTTGTGAACTGATTTTTTCACCCCCGCACGGTCTTTTTGCGATGAAATTTTTCACTCCCACCCTACTTCAAAAGCGATTCTAGCTCCCTGGTGCATATTTTCCCACGGATTCTCCCTCGACTCCCGTCTGTTCCCGGACGTGCATACTTTCCCACGGATTCTCCCTCGACTCCCATCTGCTCCCGAACGTGCATACTTTCGCACGGATTCTCCCTCGACTCCCATCTGCTCCCGAATGTGCATACTTTCGCACGGATTCTCCCTCGACTCCCATCTGCTCCCGGACGTGCACACTTTCCCACGGATTCTCCCTCGACTCCCATCTGCTTCCGGACGTGCGTACTTTCCCACGGATTCTCCCTCGACTCCCATCTGCTCCCGGACGTGCATACTTTCCCACGGATTCTCCCTCGACTCCCATCTGCTCCCGGACATAAGACGCCACGTGCATTATTTGAAGCGGGGGCTGCGCTGGCACGCTGGGGCTCTCTTCCACGGAGGGACCGTCTAATCCGACCGACGACGTCTTCGTTAGAAGCGCTCAGCATGGGCTGCATGTCGTGCCACCCAGCCGGACACCGCACGGCGGCTAGCAGACGGGCAGCGGGCCGCGTGTCAATGTGCAACAGTATCCGTATGTCGCCATCAGGCTCAGCCCCGGCGCGTGAGCAGCCGAGCGCTGCTGTGTGCTCCGCGGGGCGTGCAGCGGCCGAGCGCTGCTGTGTGCTCCGCGGGGCGCGAGCAGCCGGGCTCTGCGGTGTGCTCCGCGGGGCGTGCAGCGGCCGACGCCCTTCTGCGGTCCGCCCGGCTGTAAAACTTGTCCTATCGATGTGTTACGGTACAAACGACAGCCCCGTGGTGAACCCCCAACGCACCTACCATGACGGCCGCGACACCCACCCCAGCGCACCGCGATGATGCGCTGCCGGTCAGCCGGTTGCGAGTGGCGTTTTGTTTTGTCCTGCGAACACAATTGATCAAAGCAAATGGCTTATATCACGTGTGTGAAAGG